AATAGATTTAGCAAATGTTATAGATTAATGAATAGACATTTTGTTGTTAAATATTACTACATCTTGGTTATGCCAGCACTGGGTTAAACTCCATGAACCACTCAGTGCTTTAATTAAGAGCTATAGACCAGTTACTATTAATACTAACCGTTGCCCAACCGATGCCTACCCATTCAAGATATGAGAAGCCAACTATTGATCATTAGATTAGTAGAGCTTTTGATTTTTTGATTGCCGTCCATTCAAATCAATTTCTATACTTAACTATTGCAATAAAGACTTACCACTCATATACAGAATTGCCAAACAATATGCTGTAAAACTCATAAACTATAGGATTCATAGATTTCATACAATACTATTTACTAACTTTTTTGTTGTTTAACTCTATTGTTTGCAAAACTTTATCAAAATTTTGTTTATAATGAAAATTTAATCCTTTAAAATTGTTTCATAATACATCAAATTTATAATATTTAATTTTAAAATATAAGTATAATCGTTTTATTGAAAAATATTTATCTAGTTATTATGTAGATATTATAGTTATAATTCATAAAAATTTTATACAAAAAAAGTTTATTGAAAAAATGTTTAAAAATTTTATATATTGAATATTATCAACTAAAATAATAACATTTTAATTAAATTTAAATAAATTTAATCTATCTAATTCTTATATTTAAATTACTTTAAATATTATTTGCTTTATTTTATATCAATACTAATAAATCTAGTAAATAAAAACTTATTAAAATATAGTTTACTAAAATATTTATAAATAAAAAAATTAATTAGATGTCAAAATTATAAAATAAAAATTTTATTTTATACAATATTAAATTACATTAAAAATTTTCTTTTTCAGTGAGTTTATTGATATTCAAATTTTATTTTATTAAACATTTGCCGCACATATCCTAATATATCACATTTCTTTCACTCTTTTATTGTAATGGTAAATATATTTATATATAATACCTAACTTTTTAATAAATTTTTTATTATGTAAATTAAAGTTGTATATATTTTTAATTTATTTAAATTATACAATAGTTTAGTTTTTTTTTAATAATAAAGCAATATATTATGTATTATAAAATTCAAATATATATATATATATATATAATATTAATAGTTAAAGTTTATTATAAAGATTTTGTTCATATTTTATAATCTATTTCTATATAAATTTTGGCATTAAAGTAGAGTTAATAAAAATCAATATCTTATATGTTATAATCAAAAATATTTACAACTTATATAAAAATAGAGCCTAACTTTAATTATATAGAAAAATTTTATAATTCAAAAATATGATCAATCAATTTAATAAAATATATCGAATATTATAATTTTTATCAAAACATATCAAAATAAAAAAAACATAATTCAATAATAATATTTGTATATTTGGTATTGAGATTACATGGGGCCAACAGTTTAACTAACTTATATGGTCGTCATATATTATATATTAATATTAAATTTTAGTTTTTATACATTTCTCAAATAATTTTTGTAAAATTTCATATAAACTAAATTATTTGCACAATTTTATTTAATACTGTATTTAGGTTTTAGATCTATCCATTGAATATTTTTTTAAATGTTAAAAAATTTTACTCAACATAAACATATCCCTTGGTAGACCCTATTTTTACTAACATATAATGGTATACAATAAAATGTAAATGTACTATCCTGTACTGTATATATTGTATATTATATATATATATATATATATATATATATATATATATATATATTTAATATATTATTTATTTATTTATATACAATATTATGATAAACTCGATGTTAACGTTATATTAATGCTAATCAATGCAATCAAATATAGCAAGTATTGTTGGAAAGAGTCTTTCAAGGAGAACACTGACACCACATTTGCATCTAATATGTCATCATTTCTATCACTTTTTCATTGCATTGATGTTTAAAATAAGGAAATGTTTACAATTATATTATTCATTTCATTTAAAATTATAATATCTTACATAATGTGAATTTCCGCTTAAATGATAGCCAGTGATAGATAACAAATAAAAACAAAATTTTATAAATTACTGTTTTCGCAATGAGTCAACAAAAATAAAAAATATTTATTAATATAAATTTTATTTATAAAAGCTTACAAAATAATATAATAGCTACCATTTACTATTATTATTTGATAATTCAAGATCTAATTTATATAATTTAATTGTAATTATTATAATATATAAAAAACATATATAATTATATATTTTTTGCTTATATTTTCAATAATATTGTTTTTAATCATAAAGCAAAGCCAATGGATGTATAAAAATATTACATAAAATAGACTCATCAGTTATGTGATGCTATTTTAGGTATTTTTAGTCATAGGCTCGCATTATCCGCTAATATTGATTTTAAACATTGTCTGCCAATTGAAATAATATATTGTGCTTCAAATTGGAGTTAATATTAAGCTTACAAAATAAAAACAAAGATATATTGTATATATATTTTATTGAACATAAAAATATAAATAAATATATTAATTATATAAATATTATCTTTATGATTGTAACGATATAAAATTTTCAAAATAAAATATATAAAAATAATAAATTTAAAATTATAGCTTTTATTTTTAATCATTGTACTGTAAATAATATTTTATAAATAAATACTAAAAATTTTCTAAATATAAAAAGCAAACCTATAAAAAAATATTTTTAATTTAAGTGATGTACCCATAACTTGCTTATTATGTCATTTATTATTAGTATAACAAGTTATTTATTCAAGCAATTTCTCCTGGCTCATTTATTTAAACTATCTAAGCATCAAATTATTATATTTATACTTAACATTAAGTTAACTATATATATATATACAGTATATATGTATATAAATTTACAGCTGTATATATTATATATACAGTCCATTGTCCATGTATACAGTATATATGATATGATAGCATCAAAATAGTTATTTATATAGAAAATTAAAATTATAAACATATTGTTTAATGATTATAACATTACTACAATTTCAATCATATTTCATTGATTTATCAATTAATTGTTATCATCACTAGCCTTAATATAAAATAAAATTAACCATTTTTGTTTTATTTGACACAATTTCAAACTTTATGTAAATAACATAAAACTTTATTTGTTTGTTAGTTACTCAGTTGGCATAAAACTCAATTTTAATTAAAATGAAAGAAATTCAATACAATATTTGGTACAATTATTTTAAATGTTAATATATTTTTAAACAATATGTTTCTATTTATATAATCGTAAGAATTAAAAATATATAATAATCATTTAATAATTATATTTAATATGTTATGTAATATTAAATGTTTAACACGCAATGAACTAATTATACATTATTTTATGGTTAACAATTTGATAATTAAAACATAGCTAAATATTAAAGATTGCTAATAAGTTTTTTGATAGATTAGTATTATAAAAATTAGTATTTTTGTTTATACATTACTTTTATACAGTAATGTTATATAAGTTTGAAGTTAAGCCTATTATTAGAGATCCGTTTCATTTGTAGCTCTATTGGGGGCTTAAGAGGTAATAATACATTTGAGACCTAATCAATGCTATGGTTATGCAATCAACTATAATGATATATATTGCTAAGTGATATTTTATATGTATTTTATGTGTAATAACTAAAAAAGTAAAGTGTCTGTTAATGTATACAAACATAATTTGTCTTTTATTTTATTTAAAATATAACAATAAATTGCTAAATATAATAATAAATTAAAGTAGAGTTAACAATGTTATAAATATAATAATTATATGAATAATGAATATAATATGATGATTAAGAAAACTATTAAAAACTAATGAACAAATGTTTTTAAAATTTATAAATATTTTTAAACTAAAAAATATTTTCACAGGATATCACTCAACAATATACTAGTAGTATAATACTACACATGTTTGTACTTTAAGGTACAGTGTTATTGATCAGTGAAAATATCATTAAAATATCCAAAAATTGATTTCAAACATGTTTTGCGTGCATTATATGCAAAACACATTTTTTGCCGAAAACAAGATATAAATTTATAAAAAAAATATTTATAAAAAACACAAAATTTTCTCTCAAATGACATACAGTTAATGATGCTGATAGGTTTTACACTGTCTTATAAACTTAAAAAACAAAAATATCTATAAATAGTAATCAGATATAAGATCGTCAACTAAAATAAGAAACCAAAAAACTCAATCTTTAAGTGTCTTATTTTAGAAGTGAATTAAATGTAATCCATTTTGTTTGCAACTGTAAAATAAAAATATTTTTTTAAAAGAAAAACCAATTCAAATGTTGTGATATGTATAACAAAAAAGCGTTACAATAAAATATATAACAGTTTTTATAGTATAGATATAAAAGAGTTTCTTTTATATTAGTAAGCAAATGGCTTTAAATATAAATGACTGGGCGCTACAATTTTTTTTATCTCACCAGTGTAGAATATTTTAGATACATTAAAGACAGTCATCTGGAAATGTGTGTATCAAATGTATAAATAGAGATATAATGTATAAATGAAATGAAGAAATGCTTTTTACTTTCAATTGTCAATTGCTTTTAGTTGTCATCTTTATAGTGGTTCAAAATTTAAGCATAGAATTGACATATAATGGAGGGATTGCTAAAAAAATCAGGGATCAAATGTGAGATTGAAATCAGATTTAGAGAGACAAACAAAATGATTTTGAGTCCACTTTTTGTTTAATGTCAAAACAACAACAAAAAACACAATAATAACTATTTTACTAAGTTTTAGACTTAACTGCAAATAATATTATTTCTAAATTTAATTGAGAAAAATAAAGTAAAACAAACCACAAAAAAGTTAATTAAATTTTAATTACATTTGGTGTGACATATTTGACGGCAAAAAATACAAATAAATGAAATAAAAAACTACGGAAACAACAAGTGATGTGTGGACTCACCCAACATCTTGACGACCGACCGACGCGAAGCATTCTGTCTTTGCTGTGCACTCGTTGTCGAGTTGTGGCGATTGTAGTCAAATACAGAAGAATTGGTTGTTGTTGTTGTGTCCGGCGATGACAACTCTTTGGATCCGCTGCTCACCTGATGGGAACTTCTTCTCAATTGAATACCAATGAAGACGTAGAGAACCGTTATTAGACTGATTGGGATAACAAATAGTACGAGTGTTGCGATTTCAAACACATACGGATATATCATCTTCTCTATAGCGCATTGTGCCGTCTCCTCCAACCTAACCCCCGTTGGCGACACCTGTAATATGACGTACAGTATATGTATGACTTTTTTTTGTATTTTTTATTTTTAATCCTACAGTTTATTGAAATATAGTGGTATTTATTAAAATTTTTGTGTTAACAAATGCCAGTATTGAAGCATATAGTGTAAAAAATACATTCAAAATATCGATAAATTAGTATACTGTAGGTATTATTTATGCCTTTAAGCCAAATATCTGTATTAATAGCTATTTTTAGATAAAATTATTAAAATATATACATTGCTTACAAAACTACAATAAATTCATAACTTTTGATAAATTCTTTACTACAAAAAGATTAAAAAAATACAAAGAATTTTTTATAAAATAAAAAATGATATTTAAAATTGTAAATGTGAAAATATTTACTGTATTTAATAGTATTCATGATTTTTAAATTGAATATTTTATTTTGCATTTAAATTTATTATTATAGACAATAAATATCTGAAACAGTGTTTACATTAGAGTTAATAAAATGAAAAAATATGATTATCATTTATATTAATATTTAAATAAAAAATGTTTAAAATATAATTAAAGTAAATTTGGATATTTTCCAGAAAGCAAACAATTGAATGATTATAACTAAATAATCTTTTTATAATCTTTTGCATAAATTTTTTATATTTAAATTAAGTTTTTATATAATGTCTGTTATTATATGTTTTTATAAATTACATTAAACTAAGTTGAAAGTCATGGCTATTTATTATACTTATGACGATTTGTTTGTCCTCTAAAAATGTATTATATTTTAATTACGTTTATATGACATATTTGGTACCAAATAACTATCAAATGTATAAATATTAAAATAAGATATTTTGCTTAAATAATGAAATGTTATTATACTAAAACAGTATATTTTTAAAAATGTTTTTAATTATTATAATTAAAAAACATGTAAATTGCTTAAAAATAGAATATTATATTTCTATGTTATGACATCAAATATTTAGAAATTTTAGAGTAAATAATTATATGTATTTATAGATTTATGTATCTCTATATATCACTATTAAGTTTAAAATTAACAATATATATGAATATCTAAAAGTTTTTGTGTCACTCAACATATATTTGTGTTGTTATTAATAATTTTAAATCCCGTTCCCAACATTCGGTAGATTTTTGCTTCAGTATTTGTATGATATACTGTATAAATGTTTGACTAAAATAAACATATTTTTGAAACAGTTTTTCTTGTTTGAAAAAATTTGGAAAATTAGTTTCAAAACATTTAGTGTAGACTTATGTTCAAATTTTATTATTATTTGTTTTTATATGTAATTTTATCTGTATTATAATATTTGCCAAATATTATATGTCTGCTTAAACTTATCTATTGGCAAATTGTATAAATAAATTATAAAATCTAATATATTTTTAAGAATTAATAAAATAATTTTAAATAAGCTTTATTTAGTCAATTTATAGCATAAGTTGTTAATTATGTCATACAATAAATACAATTAAAAATATTTGACACCAAATAGTTTGATATAATTAGTAAATAATATATTTATAAATTATAATTAATAAAGTAATAAGTTTAACTTACATTGTAAATGATGTCCATCTGATAAGCAATAGGTACGGCACAAATTGCACTGAAAGCCCAAATCAATAATATTGTTTTGATAGCTCGCGGCAATTGAGACATTGTGTGGGCTTTCAATGGATGACATATCGCTACATATCTTTCAACAGTGAATGCAGTTATGGTCAGTATTGAGGCATTGGTCGAGATCTCAGATGTCAGTCCTCTTAATATACAAACGCTTTCTCCAAAAATATACGGATATTTTTGCCACAAAAGATACAATTCTTGCGGAAGTCCCAGAAGTAGAAGCAATAGATCAGAAACGGCTAAACTAAACAAATAGTAATTGGTTGCGGTGTGCATATACTTGTTGTTGGCAATCACCACACAAGTACATACATTGCCCACCACTCCTGTCAATAGTATCAACACATATACCACAGTCATTGGTATGACTGTCGACAATGACTCCCGAACCGGTCCCATGACTTGTTTGACATAATCTATCGATTCTTCAAAAGTTTCATTTTCCATAAATGTTTGATTTAATATTAACAAATTCATTGACCCATTCATTTTAATGGTTAACTTATTAATTATTTTTTTTTAATTAATTATAAAATTACATTTTAATCTTATGAAGTTATAGTTAATTAATATACTGTATATATCGTAATAAAATTTCAATTCTTTAATTAACTCAATTTAATCTGAGTTTTTAAACTATTGATATTTTTATAATAAGATTTTATTAACATATCTCAAGTTTTCAAAACTTTATTAGAAAATTGTTAACTAATAAGTAGTATGAATTGGTTAACCGTTTTTAATGCTATAGCGATTGTGAGACCACTTTTGGCACATTTTCAGAGACTAATCATTGAATAGACGACCAAATATTTTGCTCTGACTATCCGTTCCTAGACTTGTAGCGCATGTCTTAACAATATGACTATTGCACTGACTCTCAGACTCTCATCCCGACTATTATTTTGATGACATCAGGAGGTCGTCGTTAGCATTCATGTCATACACAATGAAGTGCGACACGACTGCAGTGGTCATCAAAACAAAATTGTATCAAATTTTGAATTTTAATGTTTCAAATCATATATATATCTTTAATAAACTTATAGATGCAATACAACACAAAATTAATAGTTAAAACATTTATAAGACATTTATAATTAATTTGAAAAATTTATTATTTTATTTAAAAATTTTAAAAAATACTGTAGTTGTAAAAAGTTAGATTTACAAAATATAGCTTAATCAAAATAATATAACTGTATATATATATATATATAAATTATTTTTATGTATTTTTGAATTATATGAATTTTCATGCTATTCATACTAGCGATATATTTATAATCATTCGTGCATAAAATAAATTGGTGAATTGTATTTAAGGTATACAGCTATTGTTATACAAAAATTTGTTATCAACTATTTTTATGTAAAAATTTTTAAAAGACTAAATTTTTCTATTTTTAAATAATAATAAAAACTATATTTTCATATTAGATTTATTAAACTTAAATATAAAGCATGATTCAGATAAGGCGTCCATATAATAGGGAAAGGGTGTGAATGCTTAATTTGGACGATTGTTTTGAGTGTTATAAAAATATTTTTAGAAATTTAATTGAGTATTTAACAATAATATTGCAAATAGCTTTACAATTACGATATAATTAAGTATCTAATTTATATTATATAAAAAATAATAGAGGGCTGAAAATCATATAAATATTATTTTGATTAATCAATATAAAGATTTTAAAATATTTTTATTATTTATTTATTTAATATTTATTTTTATAAGTATATAATTTTTAAACATTTAAATACTTAATTAAACAAGTAATAATTATTACTATATATTATTTCATTTTCTTTTATTTTAAATAATTAGTCATTTTTATATCCAAAATTTATTTAAATAGTATACATTATTTATAGGATAGTACTACCGGTATTATATCTATACAATATGTACTGTATATTAAATAAACAACATTTATCAATTGTAATAAACATTTGAAATATTTTTAATTAATTCCCGAAAATATTATCTAAAATTTTATTTTTGTCGTTTTTTAAATAAATAACACTTAGAATTTATAAATATTATGATCTAATATATTTTTAATAAAATGTAAAATGTATTTTTTATACATAGATACTTATATATAATATTTATACTTCACTTTTTATATATAAATGCTGACAAATAGTTAAATGTTATATAATAAATTTATTTATCAAAATACCTATCATTTTATAATTGTTATGACTATTATATACACTAATTATCTATTATTTTGTTAGTTATAATCATCTATTAATATCTCTTATATCATAATTGACCATTAATTGTGTAATAAATATATTTATTTTTCAAAATTACTACTGTACTGTTTATACATTAAGAATACTATACTAATAATGTATATCGTAATAATAATATTTTTTAAATAATAAATTATAGTAATTTTGACAATTAATTAAAGGATTTTACAATTGTTTACAATTTAATTATAATTAAATAAATATTCAGCTGATTTAAAGTTGTTGTTAATTATTATAAATTAGTTTATAGTTTATTGATATAAATTGTATTTATAAGTTATTTGAATATACTTATTTATAATACAGTAAGTATATAATTATAAATAAATATCAATCAAATATAAAAATCAATAAATATAATATATATTAATAATAATAATTTATTAGACAGCAATATAACTTAAAATTAATAATAATGCAGTTTAATTGAAATATCGTATGTTGTATATTAATACAGTAATACTACAATAAATTGAGTTTGATTTATATAAGTATCTATAAAAAAAATTATATAATATCTCATCATTTTTATATACATTAAATACTGTTATACTCGTAAAGTATTAAGATTTTCTAAAAGATAAGCAAACAATTTTTCTTTATAACCCAAATATATTTTTTATTATAACAAAACATTGTATATATCAAAGTATTGTTAACCAAAATAACAAATTGAATTAATTTATATTCAATAAAAGTGGTTTATGTCTATATTTACATTAATATTAATCTTTAGTAAGTAAAATATCTAAATATAAAAGTAATACAATCTATTGTAACAATACTACAGTACTGTATATATCTGTTGCATAGCATATTAAAAATTGAAAAATATTTATATATTTGTTAATCTTTTATTATATACATTATTATAACACCTACCTATTAATAACTTACTCACAAATGAATTGTCAAAGCTATACAGCTATTGATAGGTAATATACTGTATTAATATAATATTAAATGTTTAAATATTAATATATATGAAAATATGTTTCGCAAAACAAATATTATTAAATATGTTAATAACTTTTATAACTACAGTGTATTAAACTTGTGGTTCACTGCTAATGAATCTCTAAAAAAATCTAAGCTTTTGTTGCTTATTATTACAGTATTACACCGGTATATACAGTGTAAGTAAATTTGGTGTATTTAGTGTATACGGTATATCATATACCGGTCGCACCCAAAATATTAAAAATCAAAATATCCAAACTCATTATATCTAATTACAATTTACAGTAATAATTTTAATTGTTATTATAAATATTTATTGAAAATAATTTATTTCGGATATTTTGATTTATATAAAATAATTTTGGATATTTTTATTTGAATCAAATGAATTGGATCTTAATTTAGAGATTTTAATTTTGGATATTTTAAATTTAGTTGTTTTGAATTAAATATTTTGATTTGGATATTATAAGTTTGGATATTTTGATTTTGGATATTTTGAACGACACACACACACACACACACACACACACACACATCATATACAGTATACTTGTAGTACATTACCGGCTTATTTGACAAAACATGTTTATTAAATAATAATATTACTATTAATATTAGTCTAAATTTATTTATTTATCTCAAGATTACTGAATATTAATTATACTAAAACTATTGCACAAATTTCTATGTAAATATCAAAGTAAATATTATATAATAAAAACATTGTTTAATAAATATAATTAAGCTATAAATAAATTGGTACTAGTTAATTTACATAAATTATAAATTCGTTATTATTATTATTATGCAATATTTCATAAATCAAAATATTTAATTTTGAAGATTATTATAACATAATACTATAGATTAAATTACTGTTTAAATAATAAATTGTCTAAAAATATTACCATTTAGTTAGTTATATAAAGTTATTTATATTAATGATGACATAAATTTTAAAATAATAAACATTTAAACAATAAATATTATAATTAATATTTGTTAAATTACAAAAACAAAATTTCTCTTTAAATATTGCATAATATATTTGTGTGTATGTGTGTGTGTGTGTGTGTGTGTGTGTGTGTGTGTGTGTGTGTGTGTGTGTGTGTGTGTGTGTGTGTGTGTGTGTGTGTGTGTGTGTGTCGTTCAAAATATCCAAAATCAAAATATCCAAACTTATAATATCCAAATCAAATTAATATATATATATAAATATTTAAATTTTTAATTAAATTTATTAAAAAGTTGGTTTAATAAAATTACAAATTTAAATAATGATAGAAAATGATTTGACAAAATGATCATGGTCAATTGTGGTCAATTATTATGATTACTGTAATTAGTGATTAATTGTATAATTTTTTATAATTACTATTAATATACTAATTATTGTTAAATTAATTGATGTCTTAAATTGAATGATTAATTTGTTGATCAATTTGTGCCACACTTTGTGATCGCAATTATTGTTAATAAAAAGTCAAACGAAAGAGTGTTTTAAACTTTGAATCGTAAGGCGAGAGTCGCGACGTCTGTTGTAGTTATCAAAGACAACACAAACTGACAAAACATATGACAAACAATACATGTGTTTAGCCATTGATTGAGTGCCGCAAACAATGGCCACAACGGGTCACTCAGACATCGGGGATGTCGTCGAAGAACAGGTCGTTTGCATCGACTTCTGCGCTCCGATTGACACCAATTTATTGGACTCAAAGTCAATCAAATTACTCGGTTTGGATGACAATGAAGTGATACTTCAGATATCGGGAAATACATTCTTTAGCGGCGAAATGCAACACATCGTCGGCACTCATCTGGTATTTGATATTAAAGACAAACCAACAAAAGGTAGTCAACACTGCAAACAGTCGCCTAAAGATAGAGAAGAAGACCACAACGACAGACATCAATCGGTGGACTTTTTGGCCAAATGTGACCTCAAAATACCGATGAAAAGGATTTTTCTTGAGCCGAGAACTGAATCGACAACAACGGCTACGACAACAACACATGAGAGCTAACGGTAATAATAGTGACACCAATGATGACTATCAAAGACAATCAAATTATCACTTGTTTTCGTCATTTAATAAATTATTTTTAAATATGTATTCATTGAAAATAAAATTTATTTATTATTTAAATAATTAATAATTATTATAAACAAAATAATTAAATTAAATAAAAACTATATATATAAATATATATATATATGTTGTCATATATATAAAAACAAAGTTATGATAAATGTGCAAAAAATATAGTGTCAGAAGTGGGATTCGAACCCACGCCCACATTCGTGGACCAGAAGGCTCAGTAAGCACTAGTAGTACACTAGTGAAGGGAATGTTACCCTTGAGTCTGGCGCCTTAGACCGCTCGGCCATCCTGACTGTTACATACCAGTGCTTGTAATACAATAGTCTTACATTATAAGCACTGTTTGACAACAATATACTCTACTGTAATGTAATACATATTAATGTAATTTATCACTAAAATTCTTAACTACATCTGTATATTTAATGTTCAATTAACAACACTATTATATTTAATTATAATATAATATATTTTTATTAAATAATATAATTATCAGATATATATAATTTTTTTATCAATTTAATGTAATGTATTTAATACACCGCTTATATATATATATCATATATATTTATATATTGTGTTTAGTGTAAAGTTTCGAAAAGTTATTTGATTTGTTATGAATTTTGTCGGCAAATGTAACCATAGAAATGATTTACTATTCATTTAAAGTAATGCTTTAATACAAGTCTTAAGCAATTTCTTGTGACTAAAAAAGCGATGCAATGAAAGTAAGAATATTCTGTAATTAAAAATATATTTAAAATATTAGTTAAAATATTTCTTAATTTATGAATAAATAGAGAATATTTTCGATTGGAAACGCCTCCCATTCTGTGGGATCAGTATTCTTCACGTGGCAAAAGGGAACGGCATCTTATTTAGTAACCACCGGTTTGGACAGTTATGTCAATATATATGATAGGTTTGTTGCTTTCAAAAAATTAATTACATTCAACTTATATTCAAATTACACAAAATTGTTTTTTTAATATCTTATTGATGAAGACATGGTGAGCGTGTGGACCAAATAAACTTACCAGGGTATTCAAATTTATATAATAATAATATTATTATTATTAACAATTTATTTTATCAGTTATTGCAATGGCGTCGCCTGGGATTCAGATGGAGACTTATTGGGTATTATAACCGATCGGTCGCCGTGTGTTATATTATGGGACGCAAACACACATCGCGTCCAAATGATCGACACTGGGGTTAGGGATGTGTTATCTCTAATTATTTGGGCAAAATTGTCATCACCTCTGTTGGCTGTCGGCACATCCAAAGGCAATCTATTGATATATAATCACAGAACTGCCCGCAAAATACCAATTTTGGGAAAGCATACCAAAAAAATAATAAGTGGCGCCTGGAGTGATAATAACCTCCTGGCACTGGTAGGTGAAGATAGAGTATTAACGGTAAGCAATGAAGAAGGAGATAATATAGCCATCAGTTCACTGAAAGGCGACGGACTGACCGTTCAGTTTGCGTTTATGCGATTAGACGACAAAACACAGAATACACAGCAAAACTGCGTTAGTCTTATACTAAATAAAAGACAACTATTTTTGCTTAATTTGTCGGACTCTGAAAATCCAATTCAATTGTCATTTCAAGAGAGATATGGACTGATAGTTGACTATCAATGGTATGGCGAGGGACTCATTCTTATTGGGTTTACATCCGGAATATTTGTTGTCGTTTCTGCAAACTATAAAGAGTTGGGACAAGAGTTGAACCAATTTAGGGCCCATAAGGAGTCGTTGACCACATTTAACGTCTGTCTCAACACAAAGAGATTAGTCTCTTGTTCTGAGAATAAGTTATTAATTAAAAAAAAACAGATTTCTTATATTTTATTAAACAATATTTTATTTTTGAATGTAGTGTTAAAGTATGCGATTTGAATGATCTCAATGATGTTCAGTCAGTAATGACTATCGATGACGAGCCAGCTATTGAATGGATGGAGTGGTCAGATGACGGACAACTACTTGCAATGGTATCGCCTTCGGGAACAATTCACGTATATCTTTCAAAGTTGACAATATTAGGCGATTCATTTGGTACTCGATTAGCATTCTTGTCGTCACTTCTAGAAGTAACTGTCTTTAGTGTTCAGGAAGATCTGTCCGATTCAGTCATTATTACACGAGTAGATGTCGAGCCATCATTGGTAGCGGTCGGACCATATCATGTGGCCGTCGCTATGAATAATAGGGTTTGGTTTTATAATTTGACAGTAAATGAATCGACTGAATTGCTTCGGGAGAGAGAGTACGTCGGTATTGTTAAATGTCTTAAAATAAATGGTGACTATGCGGCCGCTCTGTTCACTAATGGTACCATTCATTTACATTTAATTGAGAATGAGCTCAACCCTAATGATTATGACAGTCGTGATCTCAAAGCATTTCCTGACAGCGCCGGCAGTTCTATAGGAAACGGAAAAATAACAACACTTTGCTTGACTAACGACTTCCTAATCTATGCGACCGATTCGGGATCTATTGAGATGTTTATGTTAGAAGATTGGGTTATGGTTTGTGTTTATCGGCACACAATTGGCATCAAAATGATCTCATCTAATGTTAGTGGCATTCGTATCGCTGTTGTTGACGATAGAAATGATGCCTTCATTTATAATGCCGTCACTGATGTAATGATACAGTTATCCCAAAATGACTTTCCAACTAATCCTAAGTTTATATTATGGGAAAGTTGGCCCTTAGATAAAGGAGTGTTTATAGCGTGTGATATAAAATTTGCATACGTTTTCATATATATCAGGGATACTATTGAAGGACCGGCTGTTGAATATGCAGGAAAAATGAAGATCCCTTCCGGTCAGTTCCCTCTATTGCTGTATAATGGAGTGGTTGTCTGTCAAACACAAAGTGGAAAAACATCTAACTTTGTTTTGTCAACTCATGATTTCGGTGATAAAATGACTGAAAAAAGTCGACTCAAATGTGAATTACTGGTAAATATATTAAAGTTGCGCCGATATCAGGACGCATGGAAAATATGCGAATATCTTAATGATGTCGAGGCCTGGGATATGTTGGGAAAGTTAGCTATTAATGATATGGACTTGGATTTAGCCATTAAAATATATCGACATATTCAGGATTCAGGTTTTGTTAATACATTAGAGAAATTAAAAGCAATAGAAGAAAGAAATTTATTGGCCGCACATTTGGCCAACTGTTGCGATCGACACGATTTGGCGCAGACTTTGTTTTTGATTTCTTCACAACCTCTGGAAGCGCTCGAAATGAGGAAAAGTCTGTTGCAATGGAGCGAAGCTTTGACTTTAGCCAAACGTTTGGCTCCGAAACAGATGACAATTATTTCACGTGAATATGCCGTACAATTAGAGTTTACCGGCGACTATAACAGTGCTCTTGACAACTATGAAAAAGGATTGATCAATAGTGACACTAACAAAGATACCATCGATAACATTGACAATAAAACTCATAACGAGTTATGTATGGCAGGAATCGCTCGCAATAGTATACGATTGGGTAACACTCGTCGTGGTATTGATTTCTTAAACAAATTAACTCCAAATCCTACACTTCTTGAAGAATGTGCCACAATATTGGATTCAATGAAACTATATTCAGACGCAGCATTGCTTTTTGAAAAGAGTGGTAATCCAGAAAAGGCTGCCAATCTTTATATGAAAGTAAAAAACTTTAATAAAGTGTCAGATCTGTTGGAAAAAGTGGACAATAAGGAGATTCAAAGCCAATATGCAAAAGCAAAGGAAATGGAGGGCAAATTCAGAGAAGCCGTTAAGGCTTACATCAAAGCCGAGGAATGGCTTAGTGTTGTTAGGATTTATTTAGATCATCTCAATAATCCCGGTGAAGCCGTCAAAATAGTGAGAGAAACCAAATCAATAGACGGCGCAAAAATGATCGCTAAGTTTTTTCAACGAATCAATGATATGAGTTCCGCCATCGAGTTCCTTATAATGTCGAAATGTCATGAAGAGGCCTACCAATTGGCACAGTCTACTCAACAAATGGACATTTATGCCAATATATTACTTAATTATACCGATGATCCTGAATTGACACAAGACTTCTTAAGTATAGCTATTCATTATGAACAGGAAAGGGATGCACTGAGAGCCGGAAAATTTTATTGCATTGCCGGTCAGTATAAAAAAGGTGTCAAATTTTTACTACAAGCGGCCGCTCAATCAAATGATGGCCAGAACCAAGCCGTGCACTTAGTTATTGAGGCGGCGGCCAAATCACGAGATGAACAGATCATTCGTATAATAATTGATTACTTGATTGGCGAGACTGACGGCGTTCCCAAAGATTTTAAATACCTTTTCCGACTTTATATGTCACTCGAGTACTATAAAGAGGCGGCAAAAACGGCATTAATTATAGCCGGAGAGGAACAGAATGCCGGCAATTACCGCAACGCTCATGACTTACTGTTTGGTATGTTTCAGGAACTCAAAAGACATCAAATAGCCGTTCCCTCGGAGATGACCAACAGTTTAATGCTTATACACTCTTATATACTAATAAAGGTATGGCTGAGGATAAAAGCTTTTTTTATACATCCATTAGTGTTATATAAATATAAATAATTTTTTGTCTGAGTTTATATTTGGCACTAATTTACTCTACCGTATAATCACTTATGACATCTACTTCATAGATATGGATCCGAGTGGGAGATCACATGAGAAGTGCCAAATTGTTGACGAGAGTGGCCAACAATTTAAGTCGATTCCCTCAACGTTAGTATTATTTCATAATTATCTTATTTATTCTTTGATAGTACTATACATCACTACTACTACTACTACTACTACTACTACTACTACTACTACTACTACTACTACTACTACTACTACTACTACTACTACTACTGTAACTAATGCACTCTTGAATATAAATTTCAGTTTATTAGTTTTAGTATATTTTTATTATTTATTATATTGTATGTATTATATTATTATCATATCATTATTTTAGTGTTAATACAATTTATATAGGATGACATAGTCTACAGCAATATTTTTGCATTACAGTATATTAATACTGTATTAATATACAGTATATTTTATAAACATTTTATTTTTTCATAAAAGTTATAATAATTTACTATATATGAAAACTAATGAATAATTTTAGCACATAAATGAGTCAAATTGAGATATTAAATTTCACTTGAGAGAGAGAGAGAGAGAGAGAAAAGAGAGAGAGAAAGAAAGAGAGAGAGAGAGAGAGAGAGAGAGAGAAAGAGAGAGAGAACTGTACTTAATTAGTTAGTTTATAATATAATGTCATTTATGTAAATCATATACAGATATGGTTCCTATACTGACATCAGCGGTAATTGAATGTCAGAGATCGGGTCTGAAACGAGAATCGTTAGAATTTGCGACAACTTTAATGAAAAGTGAATATCGCGACCAAATAGACGTCAAATTCAAGAAGAAAATTGAAACACTTGTTCGTAAGTCTGCAGCTCTTCTTAAAACTCAAGACTCTGAAGACAGTCATATCCAACACAGTCTCTGTCCTTATTGTGATAATGAAGTCATTGATATGGAACTGACGTGTCATAAATGCAGAAATACTATACCATTTTGTATAGCAACAGGACTTAACATTGTAAGGGACGAGCTAACTGTATGTCCTAACTGTCATTTTCCAGCCATTTTAAGTCAATTTATAAGATTACTGTCCACTGAACCAATATGTCCGATGTGTAACACAAGTATTGATTTATCACAAGTGGTTCCCTTACATGACATTCAATTGCTATTGGATTCACATCAACTCAAATGACTCTAAATTTCAAATACAAATATATACTAAATTGATTTTTTTTGTTAGAAATTCTATATTTATTTGAATAATAAATTATTTTGAAAACACATATCTTGTAATTATAGTCGATATGTTGCTATATTAAAAATAGTATTTATATTGCTATTAAAAATATTTAAGTATTAATTGTTGAAACTCTACACTTGAAAGCAATTTAAGTCAAGTTAATCTGATTCCCACTAAACTAATGTATAATAATAACACAACAGTTATTTTTACTGTAAAAATATTGATTTAAACTTGTATTTTGATAATAGATTTTGACTCTTATTTCAATTGATGCAAATGAGTTGTCTGTTGTGTCATTAGAAGTGATTGGACCGCTGTTTGAGTGTAACTTACACTACATTTTGAAACATTTCCAACTTTTTCACTCTTTAGTCGTATTTTTATTACTTATTTGACTGATTAGTGTTGAGTAAAGCTGTCTCTAATTGTCTTCAAAGTGGAGTCATTTGCGACAAATAATTATATTTGAGATCATTATAACACTAATACATACAACAAAATCTGGTAAAACATTTGTTTTATGAAAGACTCGGTTTTGTTGTATTTTTGATAACTAATTTGATAAAAAATATATTAAAATAGAGAGTATTTTCTGATATATTTCATTAATTCATACACAGAAACACAATATAAAACATTCAAAAACACAAAACAAATAATTAAAATAAATACAAATTATTGTTAATATAAGTTATTTATGAAATTATACACTAATTTTTGAAATTAAAGCAAACAAATAAACATTTATTTAATATAATAAACTTGGTTGAAAATTAGTTTATTTTATTAAAAAATCATGTGTGCATAAATCTAAATAACATAAAAATTTTAATTTAAATTATTTGTAAATATTTAAACATTAATATATTATAAAAGACAAATAATTATTTTAACTTTTGGCAACTTTTTTCTAAAATATTAATTATTTTTTGCAATAAACAGATTTTTTCATGTAATGAGATTTAAAAACTTATTCTTTTAATTTATTTTAATATATATTTAAAAAAGATTATATTGATTTTATAATATGACTAAACGTATAATTACTATAGAAATAAGTTTTTAAACAAAAAAATAATAAATAACATACATGTTATTACCAATTATGTTAACTAATTAATTTATACAAATAATAACAAATTTTAATGGACTTTGTTTTAGTAACACACAATACATTCACATATTTAGCGCCAATGGGTTTGGTTTTTACTAATTGCTAAATATACACTATTTGTATACATAAATTAAACACTGAATTTAGGGTTATTTATTGGTCCCAAATATACTTACACAATAACTAAATATATAATAATATATAAGTGAACAGTAGTACAATAATATATATACTCTCTATTTTTGGGTATTGAAAACCATTAATCATAGATATATTATACTTATAATATCAAGTATTAAGATACTATATCTTTAGATAAATATATGAAGAGTTGCCTCCAAATAATAACACATAAATAAAGTACAGAAAAAGGACTTAAATATTAATATCCAAAAAAGTCCAAAAAATAATGTAAGAATAGGCAGACATTGAGGAGACATGACATGAATTATCTATAGGAATAAAAACAAAGAATAATTTATAAATTCTGGATAAATATAAACTAAATTATTTAACAAATATAATATAAACAGTATTTTAGGCAAATTATAATTTTATTAAATTTTTACTTTATTTATTTACTTTTATATATTAACCTAATATATAATTATTATTATTAAATTTTATATATATCTATTTAAATTATGGGTAATATAAAAATATAATTTATTATCAAATTATATAATAAAGTTGTATATTAGTATAAGATATAAATAAATAAATTCTTTCTTATAAAATTAAATCTAAAAATAACTATAACTATAAAGTGATGTGGTGTGTGTGTGTGTGTGTGTGTGTGTGTGTGTGTGTGTGTGTGTGTGTGTGTGTGTGTGTGTGTGTGTGTAATATGTATATATAAATTTACAAAATCTAAAGTATATATATATTACATATGCATATAAATATATATAAAACTGCGCCAATTGATTGTGTGTGATAAAGTGAGTCTTATATTTTGAGCAAAACTGTATGTTGTATTGTAACCCTGTTTTTGAGGCTAAAAGTGAGGCTAAATGTGTATAATAAGTGCAATGCAAATGCAATTAATCTCCTTTTTTTATTTAAACAAAAGTCATCGTTATTTCTATTTTTATATTGTGCTGTATATCAGACGCTAAACTATTAAATTGTCTGAAAGTCCCTAAAAATTTTGTTTAACTTTTTTATCTGCATTTTTCAGAGCATTGAAATGTTTGCAAAACTTTGAATAAAGTAAAGTATTTTTTTAATGCCTCTAATGAATACATAATTATTTAGATTATTCTTTTAGGAATTAGTATTTTTCTGTTATAATATATTGTAATAAAGATTAATAAAAACTTAAAAACAGGTTTTATAAATACTTACATTTGATTAAATCAACAATTTTACCGATTTTTTGTTTGTTGTGTATCCGACTTAATGAAAACAAATTGGTTGTACTCTAAGATATTGACTGTTAATACCAATTAATATGGTTTATCTCTAGTCTTCTTGAGCTGAACTTTAAGTCTTTTATTTCGGATCTGAAATCCATGCATCGTTTGAATGGCTGTTTGGGCCGACATTTGGTTGTCATACGATACAAATCCTGTTTTCAAAAAAATCAATACAAATATTATTTTAATACATCAAATCATTTACTCGTTTGATTTATACAGTAATACCACATATTAGACTTATTATGCTTAATATACTTAATATATACTGTACTACAGTATACTATAATATACTTTAATATTATTTCAATTACATTACTCACCAAAACATTTGCTAAGATTAGAGTTTTTGTCGATAAAAACTTTGGCTGAAATTACATTTCCAAAGGGAGAGAAAGTAGCGATTAAATCATTGTCAGTAAATTCAGCTAAAAATTAGAAACAAATAATTAATTTTTGATTAATAGTATTTATGGCATTAAAATGACTGACGCGGCAAATGATATATAAAAAGATTGGCGCCTTCGGGACCTTCAATCTGTTTGTTTGTATTTGTTGTAATGTTTGCCGACGGCAATGTTGAGGCCAAATGTTGGACACCCGTTAATGTTTGTGCTGTGGACAGGGATCAAGTCAATAATAATACTAATAGGTCTCTCATTTTGATTATATTACTATTGAAATGTGAACCCAATGCAAGTGATTGTGTTGTTTGAGGCGAAGAATTTGTGAGAGCCATCAAAATTGTTGGATTACTTAGGGCTGAGGCCAGTGACAGATCAGTTGCCAAACAGTGTTGCTTTAGTGCTAAAGTTGTGGCCAATTGTTGTTGTTGTTGCTGCTGTTGGGCTGCATTAGTCAATGCCGCTAAAGTCATGTATGGATTGGTCACCAATGAAGTGGACAATGGGTTAGTATTATGTGTCCAAACGTGTGGTAATAATGAATGTTTGTTTTTGCGCTGATCTTTATCTTTCATTATTAATAATATAATTAATATAGATTTACATAAAACAAGTATTAGTTAAAATCCTAAGCAAATTTGCAACTAATTAATTAAAATGTCACATATTTTCTATGACATAACATATTGAAAAATACATGAAAACAGTATTAAAACATAACATACTGTTTCTATTGTCAGTGTCGGCCGGTTTCATCTGAATCGGGTGATGGCACTAAACAATTACATTAAAAACAATATATATATATATACTAATTAAATATTTTAATTAATTCAAACTTAAAATAGATATTTTAATTAAAAATAAAATAATAATAATAGTTGACAATTGTGCACAAAAATTTTTGCTTTTATATTTGTATTACAATAAGAGAGTATCAAATATTTTAAATATCAAATAATAAAATACATCCAACAGTGAAACAACAACACCAAAAAATACAAGTAATGGTAATTAGGGATTACTTTGCATACTTTACAACACAATTTACACAATTATTTAGCAAAATTCAAGTTTTGTAGTGAAAATAACAGAATAATTCTCTAAAACAATTAATTTTTTCTATGGATTCCTATTGGATTATATTCATTAAAATTCAATCATTTGAACAAAAATATTTCATATTAACACAACAACTACAACATCAACACAACAGTAACAACACAGTCAAGTGTTCCCAACAATCAATATAAGTCTTACAAAAATTGGTGACACCGTTATAATTAATGTACTGAAAGTTAATTTCAAAATATACTGAATATATATACAGTATATAACAAGTACTCTATAACAACAACAACGACAAACTTTTCGACAACAAAAATGTTTTATGAAAAAATTGAAAAATAACATTTTGTAAAGTATTATATATTACGATATTAACCTTTAAAATGCAAAAAAATATTTGCATAACATTAAGAATTGCAATATTAACACAACTTCATTTACATGTATATTCAGTATAAATTGTATTATAGTGTATACTATAGTATATTATTTATATTAAATGATATATTTTAGATAAATTTATTACGACAAAAATTTGACACAAAAAACGATAACTATTTTAATAGTAAAAATAAATGCTTTAAAACAATAAGTAGTCGTATTGAAACAATTGGCAAAATTGGTGACATTGTTGAGAGGAGTAATGTCGTGAAAATAGCAATAATAATAAAAATAAAAACAATCGTTGGATTTAATACTAATACAAAATAGCATTACTTTATAACAAAAAAGTAATACTTTTTTATAACAGAATTTTTTTGCTGAATATGACTATAGATGACAATAACGTTAACAGAATTATAACAGAGATTTCATACCGGGATTTGTTGAGTGGCTCTCAATATTGTCTCAGCCATTGAACAGTTATTGCATGTCTGTCCACAAGAGTTTATGGCACTAGTGATAGCACCGGTGACTGACTGGTGTGGGCTTTGGTGACCCAATAGTAATTGTGCTGCCGCTGCCACTATCAGGTCCTTAGTTTCCTTATTAATGGCATCACTTGTATTGCAATTATGACCATTACTACTACTATTAATAATATTATTTGTGGCAAAAGAGGGATTATTATTATTATTATTTTTCTTATACGGTCGGCACCTGTTGTTTGCTTTCATTTGTTGCGACATTTATTTGTTTGTTTCACTCAATATAATGAAACTATTGGTATATATATGTATTTAACTTATTTTTTAGGTATTTATTCGTTGTTAATAATTTTCTTAGTATTTATCGCAAATGTAATACAGAAACACTTCTCCCATAAACTCCAAGTGTATGAATGAGAGCTAATCCCTAACCAGCAATGTATGACATGATGTGTGAGCTTAGAGTCCAAACACACAGTTTGTATGAGAAAACAAACTCTCGATTCTTGTGATTCTTAGTACTTAAGACTTAGTTTAAGCTCATGAGCGCAACAATTGCCACATCACAGCACCACAACATTCAATGGGAACGGGAGATGCACTCGAAAATTTCAAACCAACATCACATTGCCGTTTGAAGCACAGCTCTCAACACAACAACAACACTAAACTACATATACTGTACAACAGCTATCAACTCATGAAGAGTTACACCACTTTTGCTGCCAGTTGTTGGCAAACACAGCATCAGTAAGACATGCGCTCAATATATACCAACATTTCCTACAATACACTCAAAATTAATTTAGTTGTGTTTCTCATACACATCATGTATTTTCGCCTCGTTTAACAACATACTCTCTCTCTCTCTCTCTCTCTCTCTCTCTCTCTCTCTCTCTCTCTAACTCAGTCACTCACTGACTCATATACTCACCCACCCTCTCCATGTCCTCTCTATAACTCTCTGTCATATAAAACATCTCTCTATTCATCCATTGATTCATTTTAATCAATCTCTGGCCGCGATTTTCACTTTTCTCTGCTTTTCATTCAGTCATTCAATTGATTTCATTTTCATTTTCTTCCATACAATTAGTCAAACATAAGTACAAACAATACACACAATATAATCACTGCAACAACAAAAACACATTAAATATTGAATACAATCATAGAAAATAAGTGAAAGACTTAACACATCGCAAGATTAACAATAAAAACATTAATAAGAAAAATAAATTATACGAAACAATCGGAAATAAATTAAATAACACAATAAAATCAACAAATTATACGATTAATTACTATTTATGTTATTGACAGATATGTAAGTCATAAAAAAAGATTGTAAATCACATAAAAATATAACTAATTTAAAACAACATCATTACCGATGGCAGTGTCCGTATGTTATGTAATGCGTTTTGAGCCTAAATTTTAATCATATATTAAAAATATATTAAATAGCTATTTGATTATTTTTAAAATCTACTTAATTAGTAAACAAAATGTTTGCCGAGTAATGGTAATTAAAGTGATTATTCATTTTAATATATATATATATATAAAATTTAATAATCATTATATTTGCCAAAAACAAACACATACCTCAAGAGCTCCTCTTCTCGTGTAATAAGTGACAAAACAACAACCTATTAAAAATATATTATCATTTTTATTATAATTATATGAAAATTTATCGATAATTTCATTTTTATGGTTAAATTGTTGAATATAATAAATTTAATATTATTATTTAACATTATTTATATTATGATTTTACACATTTTTTATCTTTATCTTCTATAATAAAAAAATAATATTGAATTCAAGTCAAGTATAAATAAAATTGTAAGAAAATAATTAGTTTGAATTCTTGTAACGGAATTTCATCAGTCAAGTGAAATACCAATCATTTCAATTAAACACATAAAGAATTAACTGAACAAATAGTGGTACAAATAATGGTACAAATAATGGTATAAATAATGGTGAGGACAAGCAGTTCCTCATCTTATTGCTTGTGATGGTCTACTTCTGCTCAACTAATTTAATATAGCATTTAATTTACTGTCTATTCATTGTAGTTGTGACTCAATCTAACATTTTTTGTAGGTCTCGTCGCATGACACACACACACACACACACACACACACACACACTCACTCACTCACTCACTCACTCACACACACACACACAGACTTATCAACACTGACTCTTCAATTCTCGAGAGATTTCTTAACACTATTGACGAGTTAATTGATGCCACTGTCTGTCCATTGTATTGATATCATCGGAACCAAAAACTGCACATCCATTTGATTACTTCATATAATGAAAAACAGAAAGAGAGACAAATCAACAGAAAGTAATACAGTGAGTGAGTTGCGTGAGTCTGTGTGTGTGTGTGTGTGTGTGTGTGTGAGAGAGAGAGAGAGAGAGAAATATACAAAAGGTATTTCTCATATGATGTCTATTTATTGAACTCTATTTGAGACATACTTTAAGTCACATACCATTGATGTCTTGACTAACCCATAGATCCAATCACTCAAATGTACATCAAATATGAGTGGATGAGTACTAAGACCTAAAATTCCTAATCATAAGGGAATTGATAGCAAATTATCAATAAGTCGCGACCTTTAACTTTGAATGACAGTCACAATACTGATCCCTTAAGGAGAGTCTATAAAATCCAATCATATAATTGAGTTTCAATCCAAATAAATCCAATATTTGTTGCAATAATAGACTTATACCTTAGTTTTTATTGTGCACTGAGTTTTGAATGTCGTTTATTTAACTTAAATGAAATGCACGTTTTGAATGCATTGATTTTTTTTGCCTCAATCTATTGCTACGTTTGGATAGAATTTATTATATTTATTGTATATAAAAAAACTTTTTGTGATATTTGTTTGTTAAATGATTTGAGTAAATATATATACAATTTCTAGAATGATATTTGTAGTGAAAATTTATAACAACAATTTTTAGCCTTCAAAAGGGAAACTTTTTTGAAAGGATTTAAAAGTAAAATATTTCGACTCAAAGTTATATTGGTTTGAAATAACCGATATATATATATACACTTTTTTATATATAAAACAATATTATATTTCTCTTTTATGGCTAATCCATTAGCCAATGGATATTCCCTTTCTTATATGTAAATGATATGCCATATACTCTAAACATCATATAAAATATGCTTTTATCTATTATTATATGCTTTATAAACACAATATAAGTAAAAATACCAAAAACAATATCAGCGCACAATATATTTATAGATTTTTTCAGAAAAAAATAATTTTATTAGAGTTCAAGTCATGTTTGTTTGACTGCCATTTACTCATCGGATTGATCATCAAGTTTTGGTCACAATGACCGTAGATTTAATATAATATGAAAAATACTCATCAAAAGTAGTTTTTATACTGTACTGTATATCATATGATGGGCCTCTTTATACAATCTCTACAATGGTTTTGATGTTTTACAGTCTTAGCACTTAAATATGTGACATTTAAGTCAAATGGGGAGACAGTTTCAAATGCAAACATTCAATACAGAGAAAGACATTGAAAATGGAGTTGATTTGCCATAAAGGCGTTGGGAATAGAGGATAGCCATTGCCATCAAGTCTTGTGTCACAATGAATAATGTGATTGCAGTACACCATCACTGCTTCAGCAGTCACTTCATCTATAATTCATAACAATGTTTAACAAAAATAGAGCAAAGACTCGGATGAAAGTCTCATTCACCGCATTTGATTGCACTTCAGAGACATTCATATATCGGACTTACATAATATACCAATCAATAGATCGCATCAAATAAACCAAAACTATTGCCACAAATGGCAACAAGTCTTTGCTCTCTTGCTTTCCATTATATTTGATATGCAGTGGCGTAACAACAAATACACTACAATATAGTCATGTGAAACACTATCACTTAATAAATGTAATAAACCTTAATTAATATATATTTATTATTACATTTCTTGTATCTAATAAATTTATTTTCCTTATATTATCATTATTATTGCAATAATAATCTTATATATTGTTAAGATTTATATAATAATAATATCATTACAGCAATTTTCAGTATAGTATACGCCTCTAATAAATTGTTACATTTCGTTATTTTTGCTCTTGAATTAAGCATAAATGTCGCCGACTTTCAGAGTTAGTCTTATTCAGTGAAAGATAAAACTTTTTTCAGGTATTCAAGAGATTACTCTATTTATTAGTATTTTTTATTATTAGGAAATTTATTGGAAAAAAGATCATTTTGTTTTCAAGATAAAGACATCACAAATAAAAAGCTTTTTACTCTAAGACTACAAATTTATCAAAATTGCAGTCAATTTAGTTTCGGCTTAACCTCGAGTTTATAATTGAAATTAAAAATTAAAGAAAATAAGATTAGTTTTCAAAAGAAAAATTAGTTAACCTTTGCTTTTGTTGGTTCGTTTATCTTTTAGCAAATTAATGCCATAAATATCACCGAACGGTTCCAGTAGTCTATGGCAATCAGTTTCAGTCCAATCTCTGGGAATCTGTCCGACAAACATCTTCATGGAATCACTATCTGGTTCTCTCACTATTGACTCTTCATTATTGTTATGATTAATGCAACTATTGATGTCATAATTTAAGGAAAACAGTATTAAAATTAAATAAATAAAAATATTTTTCAAATTAATTATTTATAACATACTTTATTTTTTTCAAAAAAATAATATTTTATTTCAGTTATAACAGTCTAAAGTATATTATTATTGTTATTATAACAAAAAAAATAAAAATCAATAAATAGTCTCACTTTTGCTCTTTTTGTTGATCCAATTGTTTTTCAACTTTATCTGAATCGTTGATTGAATTGTCTTCAAGCTGTTGGTCATTGACTGATGCAATGGACTCTTCTTTGATGTCAATATTTTCAGTCATTTTTTATTCACTTAAAAATATATATAAAAAAAATCTTTAAAGTGTCATTAAGTTTTATTAAATGCAACAATAAATTATTAAATATTATAAGAAAAATATTCTCAAATAATAAATAGAAAAATGTTTGCAAATGAAATGTATAAATGATAAACAAATAGAAAGTACAAAAAATTAATTTGTTGACTAATTAAAAAAAACAAATTTTCAACATTTAAATATTATTACATCGATTAAAATTATTAATTTAAAAATGGTTGCACAATAATTTGTTTAAAATTATTAAATTTAAATCACATAATAATAAATAATTTTTTATTAATTGTATATAAATGATAATTTTAAATACAAAGTTTATAAATCACAAAATGTAATTATTTGTTGTTTTAATTACTCAATAAATATGAATAATCTCTTTATAGTTGAAGTTATAAAAAATCACATTTAAATGTTTGTTTGATTAAAAATATTCAATTGGTTAATAAAAATAAATACAATATAAAAGTTTAATTAAAAATAGTACTAATATACAGTATTGAATGTTATCAATACTCAACTGAATATTAAACAGTCAATACACTTGTTTTGATAAATTGTCTGTATATTATCATTAATGGAGACTTTGTAGAGTACTGTAGTATAGTTACTATCAGCTGAACAGTTATCTTGGAGTCCACCCAACGACATAACAGTTCCCCTAAACAACGGTTTGGCAAAACTAAAGAAACCAGAAGATTGTCACCAATGGATGTGTGATTTGATGCCAATCGCAGACTCTATTAAACATAAAATGGAAAAACGGCAGAAAATTAACTGAAAAATCGCTGATAAGATAAAACATAAATAAATAGTAGAAAATTGTGTGTATTAGTCGAAAGTTATTAGTATATTACTAGAAAAAACATTTCTGTAAAATATGCTATATTACCACTTATACCAACAGTTTAAGTACTTATAAAATCCTAACACAAAATACAGCTTGTCTTTTGGGAAGATAGCGCCACCTAAACGGTATAATATAAAAAATTGGTTGACACGTGGTTTTGATTGTTTACATATCAAACCCTTAACCTGTGATTTTCATCTAATTATCTCTAGTCGTGTATAAGATATAACCATTTAAAGAGGTCTGGTCGGAAGTTTTTCGGTGATACCAATGGAGTTATCGGAGGAACACAAACGTGTCATAATTTATTATGAGTTTTTGTCCACACAAGACCCGAACGAAATTCATCGTCGGATGGTGGACAGGTTGGGCAATAATAGCCCTGCTTACAGTACAATCACCAAATGGATCCGACATTTCAAACTCGGTGTACAGTCACTCAAAGATGGCGAAAGAAAAGGTCCGGAAGTTACTGTATCGACCCCTGAAAATGCGGCCGCTGTCGAAAAGATAATAAGAGCAGATCCATGGATCACATACCGTGAGTTAGAGGAAAAGTCAGGCATTCATCGCACAACACTTCAAAAAATATGCACTGATTTGATTGGCGTACGGAAGCGTTTATGTCGGTTTGTTCCTCACTTTCTATCAGATGAACAAAAACAACAACGTGTGAACATTTGCCGAGAAAATCTAAAGATGTGGAAGAATAAGGGACATGTTTTAATTGATAAGATCACTACAGGTGATGAAACATATGTTCACTATTATGAGCCAAAATTGTCACGTGAAGCGAAGATATTTGTGTTTGAAGATGAGGTACCGCCCGATATTGTCAAACGTGATAAAACTATTGGAAAAGTTATGTACGCCGTATTTTTCAATACGGCGGGTTTGGTGGCCGCGGTAAAGTTATGCGGACAGAAGACAGCCACGGCTTTGTGGTACACCACACAATGTCTTCCTAAAGTCATTGAGGGATCTGCAAAAAAAGGAATGCTACTGCACCACGACAACAGCCGAGTTCATACTGCAAAACTGACTCAAGAGTTTTTGGCCAAAAATAATGTCAAGACTGTACCGCACCCGCCATATTCCCCCGACCTTGCAATGTGTGACTTTTGGTTGTTTAGTGGTCTGAAGCATTTTCTTCGCGGACAAGCATTTAAGACAGAGGAAGAGTTGGACTGCGCGGTGATGGAGTATTTTCACTCCATTTCTGAAGATCGCTATAAAAAAGCTTTCGAGATGTGGAGATCCCGAATGGAGCTATGCATCGAATTAGGAGGGGACTATATTTAAAAAATAAATTTTTTATTTTCATAAATTACGTCTAGTTTTCCTTGTGCTACGTTCCCAAAAGACAAGCTGTACATAACAGTTTTTTTTACAAATCTATGGTTTTAATCTGTTGTTAAATAAAGCAAAAAATATATAAAATAGTATTTAAAAATATATTTTTAAAACACGAATAAAACGTGTTGCTAAAATTAAATAACATATTTATTTATACATAAAATTCATATATATTTTGTTTTAAATATAAAAAATAATAATAATGTCTAGAAAAGTGAAGTTTAGCGCATTTAATTGAGATATAAATTTTAATAAAAATAATGATATAGTACTTAATATTATAAATGATTGCACAGGAGTTTTATGAGACATCTCATTACTGGAGAGGTTATTGAATATATAAAGATAAGTGGGATTTGCATAACTCATCTATTATTCAATTGTCACACAAAAAAGCTTTCATTAATTAATGTTTTTTAAATGTTATGTTATCTTTTGACATATCTTTACAATCACTTCAAACATTTTGAAACGACAAACACTTCATTCATATATATATTAATAGGATTTAACATTTGAATAAACATACCTTTTTAGCTTTCAGTTTAGTCTTAAATGATAATTTTTATTATTTTTATTTAATATAATGTAAGTAAAAATGTTTGTCACTGAAAAGTAAATTAATAATTTAATAATGCACTTATTAATAATTATTAATAATTTTATATATATTTATCTATAACAATGAAATGTAAACTTAAACTTAAGTTCAAATTTTTATTTTATTTTTTGTTAATTCCTATATACTAATATATCAAATCAAGTAATATCAATTTTTATATAATTACTGTTACTTAATTATAAAAAGCAATTCAATTATAGTATAGTTTAAATGTTATAAACTTAAAAATTTATATATTTAATCATTTATATATTCAATAGTAGCTATTTTAGTATATAGTTACGATATTTGTATAGTTTTTTTGTCCTACCAATATATTATAATTTATTTTTATTCTAATATTATCATATTATTTTTATGTCATTTTTTTAAAATTTGTAAAAAAATTGCATGTGTTTGGTAGTTATTTTCCACTATCCTTATAATAAATGTTAACATTTAAAATATTATTATTATTACAAAGTTTTATACATACTTGAAAGTTATTGTCTATTTGGCATTTTTTATATAAGATTGCATCAATTCACAAATAGAAATATCAAGTTTTTTAATTTTTTAAATTTACAATTTTGTCAAATTTATAAAATTGTTTATTCAAATAATTTTATTGTAATTTTCCATTTAAGAATCAAAGAACAGATTTGCTAATAATATTGAATTATGAGATCAAAAGTGTCAATAACTTATATTTTGCTGATATAAACATAAAAGCCATTAAGTGTTTATTATTATTATTAAATACAATTGGCATTTATATCAGAATACTTATTGATATTAAAATTTGTAATATATAAGTTAGATATATAAATAACTTACTATATTTAATTAACTTACTATATTTAATTAACTAAAACCTTGATAATTTATATTTCATATGTTATCAAACAACAAATTACATCAATTGTTAATTATTTTAAAAAATAATTTGAATTTGATTTTAAGTTTTTAATATATATTATTTATATGAAATATCTTATTAATACAGTTAATATGTATAACTAATAATACCGTATATGCAATTAATCCATTTATATTTAAATATTTAAATTTCAAATGTTAATTGATGTAAATTATAGTAAATTAATTGAAAATAAATATACAGAGATTTAATTCTTTTATTTGCTATATATTATTGTTTAGTATAACAATTAATATTGGATTTCTTAAAACATTAACAAACATTTTGTGAATAATACTAAAAATGTTTAGTTTTAATAATTATTCGAATTATTTTTTAAGCAATAGTCAAAAATTTAGTAGTTTTTACAATAATATTAATAATAGATTATATTATATTCAATACAATCATTGCTGCCATTCATTGGATTTGTTTTGAAGTTTCGATTAGTTTTGAATGATTTAATTTATATTTTAATAACAAATTATTATTAAAATATAATTTTATATTTATAGTTTATATTTAACTAATAATCAATGATTAGATTAAATTTATTTGACATTTATTTAAATAACCAGTAAATGATAAAAGTCAAGCCCAACTATGAGCACCGGTATTACAAATATTTGTTTGACGACACCAGATGTCGGGTTATATCTAAAGCAAGAATTTTGAAATACTTTTGAAAATTATTCTTAAGGAGTAAAGCATTTAAACGACGTGTGATTTGCTATTCATGGCATCCCTATGAGTATCCCTATCCCTCTATCCCTCTATCCCTATATCTACACAATCCGTCCCAATGTCTATCCGGTGTACATCACCAAAGGCCCCATTCCTTGAGCCATAACTGCGCTCTCATCTCTCTCTTTCGTCTCAATCGTTGCCTAACTTTTCTCGCAATCAGTTTTACTCAACACATTGCCATCAAATGCATGACTTCTATAATAAAGCAAATCCTTATAGTGATTATAGTACTGATGAAGAGCAACATCAGTACCGGCAACGGGAAAGACATCACCACATGGATGGACATCATATGAGATCAGAACACGACAACTGTATGTGTCTGGTGTGGGCCTGTAAGACATGCAAACGTAAGACCGTATCCATCGACCGCAGGAAAGCGGCAACAATGAGGGAAAGGAGAAGATTAAAGAGGGTATGTCTACTATATATCACATATCAATCAACTTTTATATTAAATTTTTTACATTAAATTTTATGTTACATTTAACTATAATTTTATCAAATAATTCAAATTAAATTTTTAATTTAAATTAAAATTCAATAAATTAGATTTTATTTGAAGTAAATTTGTAAAATAAATCTTCCATAAAGGGGTTCAGATGATCTCAATTTCAACTTACTTGAGTGTATTATATGAATTGAATTTTACATTTATTACATCTAACTGTAAGCTTAGATACTAAATTGAGAGACAAATTAATATGAGTTTCAATTTTGAATATCATTTTATTTATAACTCTTGTTTCATAATATTTTGAAATATTCTCACCAAAAAAACCACAGGATATGATTAATACATAAAATAAAATATTTTTGAATCAGTCTTTTATTTAGCAGTTGATTGTCCCACGAGTATAGTCTGTAATATTAATATAATGTAAAAGTCATAAAAAGATTTGTTGATTCATATAATATGAGATATTTTTATATTTTTCTTGAATAACATTTAACGAATGCATTCAAGAATTAGTCATATTTTGTATATATTTATAACTTATATTTTGAAGTAAAATAAACTAAAAATATTATTGAAAAGCTATATTTATAGTATTGTTTTGTTATATATTTATAAATATATGTATATATTTTGAGGTGAATGAGGCGTTTGAGATACTGAAGCACAGGACATGTTATAACCCGAATCAAAGGTTACCGAAAGTGGAAATACTTCGGAGTGCTATTGAATACATCGAGAGCTTAGAAGGTCTTCTTCAGCAAAATAATAATATAGGAAACGGATCGACACCTTTGGGTTCAAACAGTTATAGTATCCCAGAATCGCAAATGAGTTCAAACTCAATGTTTGCCATAAATCACTGTTCAATGGTCTCATCAGAGAACATGTCATACGGCGAGTGTGAGTACAACACGACTGTCTCGTCTTCTTCCTCATCATTGAGTGACTCTTCAATGGTCTCCAGTTTGGACTGTCTTTCATTGATCGTTGAGAGTATATCACCAATAAATATGTGCGAAACTGATAGAAGCCCTCAAAAGACTAATTACCCTTTACTGACATAAGTTAAATAAATGTATTCAACAAAATATGTATGACTTGTCTATGAGAGGCCTACCAAATACAGAAACATAGGACTGTAGTCCATAATGATAGTGACAATGAAGATCGGGATCACATTGCAACTCGTTTTACACATCACTGCACTCCAAACACAATCATTCAATTACCACTCATTTGAATGCAATCCATCAAATCAACGGTTAGGAGACGTAAAACTATACATTTTTAAAAAGTTTTTAGACTAATTCAAAATTATGCCCTCTATTTCATTGTGTGCCTTAAAAGACCAAATTAAACACTGTTTTTAAATATAATAAAAACAATATTAATTTTAAAGTGCATTACAAAATATAATTATTTTTTAATTAAGCAATAATATTTGTAGAAATGAGTGCAAAATGATCTCGATTGGTTTTGTAAATAATTAAACATAAAATTTTATTTAATATCATAGATAAGTATTAAATATTATGTACTTAATAGTTAGATATACCGTAATTTTATTGATTAATAATATATATTATTAATATATAATATGCTCAATGTATTAATAGATGATACTGTAATTAAATTTGTATTGATACTATACTAACTCAATTTTTAAATTATTTAATACTTTTTTTGAAATAAATCATTGTAGTAATGAAACAAACATTTGATGTAATTATTTTTATATAAAATATACAGAAAAATATTTGTTTGTTTGAGACGGCAGATACGGCACCGACACATTCAATATACTGTAGTAACACATGTGCTTTTGAATACAATTAGTTATATAAGACTTTGTGGGGCTTAAATCCGCATCTCATTTGCGATAAACGGTTCAATTGTTATATTACTAGTAGTTTAAAACTATTTCAAACATTGATGTGGTTATAAAACTTTGAGAATTGAAACAATTTTATAAAAAATGTAAATTTAGTTTTTATTGCATATTTTGAAAGCTTGCAGAAATATTTTTTATTTAATGACATTTTTAAAGCAGTTATATTAATATCAAATTATTATTATATAATGAACCAAAAACTATATAATCATTGGTAGAAAATTTATTTAATAATTAATGTTTTTGTGATTTTATGCTACAAAATGTGATGATTGTATAATGTATCATTGGTTTGAATTTATATTTGTACTATATATATATATATATATATGATATTAGATTTAAAATAAAAAATAAAGTCAACAATAAATTTACAAAAATTTTAATAGTTTTTGAGGAGTTCAGGAATTTCCTGTCGTTTATATCATATATTTAGTGGTTTTTTAAAATATCATTTATTTATGTATTTCATTTTACAAAGTGATTTATGAAGCTTAAAAAATATTTGACTTATATTTAAATTTATGTATTTGTTTGTAAATGAATTACATTTCAACAAAAATATTAAAAACTTTTTAAACAATATTCACATCTCTCGTCAGTTATTTAATTATCCAACAAAATATAAATTTCAAAAACTTGGCTCATATTATCGTATAAGTTGTCTTTTTTAAATAATATATCTAAATGTTATTAATATAATTTATACTGTGTATCTTATTTTCAAATTATACAGTGTTTTTCTATAAGGTTTTATATAATATATATATAAATACAAAATTTATACAGAATTTGCTAAACTATAAGTACAGTATCAAAAATGTTTTCAATGTATTCAATAATGTTAATATAGATGTATTGATAGTTTTATAAATATATTAAATATAAGCAACGATATATAAGTCTACAGTATATAAATTTTAGCATTAAACAAAATTGTTATCATATTTGTGATCTGATATATATTTTTATTTTTAGGTAATATGAGATACATGAGTACAATGTTTGCATTGCATATGAAAATTCATTCATAAACGCAATCAAAAGTTTGTTATTTTGTGAAATCAAACAACTTTATGGCCAAAAGTTTATTAAAAACCACAAATGGTTAGCATTTTGAGTGAAAAATTTGCAATAGTTTTTATTTAGTGCTTCCGTTATGACTATTGCGGACTATTCCCAAAAAAGTGTGGCACTGGGAGGTCGTCTATAGCTCTGACAAAATCTTTATAGTTCTTATGTAAGACTCTGGACGTAAAGTTTTTATGCAATACACGAGTAATAACAGTAAAAACATAGGATTTCTACAAACAACTAAAATTCCAATCAATAGTAGAGGTGATGACAAAATCATTTGCCAACACTAGTGCTAAATGTTGTGTAGTGTCCGACATATAGGCGTTGGAATTTCCATATATTTCACATACAATTCCCACTGAAATTCACTCTATAAATGTCATCAATGGTCAGCCTTTATCCAAAGCCACAGAGCATTGGATTGCAAACAAAAATATTTGTTTTCTATGATATGAAGTATCTTTAAATTGCTTTTTGTGTTGAAAATAAGGCACAATTATATACACTGTATATCATACAGTGACACAAAAAAATCTTAGTGTTATTAATAACTAACTTTTTATATGAGAAAAAGCTAGTAATCTCTGTAGTAATTGTTTCATTTCTTTTTACAACTTATGAAAAATATAACTATATTTAGACCCAATCTCTCTCTTACATTGAAAAATAAACTTTTTTACTGTACTGTCACTTTCCGTTAGACTATGACTTTTAAAAACATGTTTTTATTGCCATTCAAAGTATATAATATACACTTTTTTCTTAGTTTACAGTACTATATAGAGATAAGTTACTGTTAAGTTAGTCATATGTATATAATAGTATTTGACTAATAATATAAATACAAATATAAATGAAATCAAGAACTCTATAAATAAAAACAAAAAACATAAAAATTGAGTTTTTATTTTAAACACTTTCATTCAATGTGAATATACACAAAAAATATTGTATAAATGAAGTGATGCATAAAATTTCTCTTATTTTTTATTTATAGATAAAACATTATTTTAAATTAATTTTTTGTTATTTGTAGCACCATGGGTGTGATTCATAAATTAAAACATATATTGATAAAATTGAAAAATTTTTAAAAACTATATTAGAAAATATAGTTATTTAATAAAACTATTATTACATGATTTAATCATATTTCTATTATAATTGTTTGAGTGCTTGAATTAGTAAATATTAGAAAATAATATTATGTTTATATAAACTATTTATATATAAAACGTCCAGATATTTTACGGTAAGATTAATGTTATAAAGATTTAAATAACTACGTTTAACACTGTTATATAATACTGTATATAACTGTAACTAAAGTAAACCAAATAAATATTTAATATGATTTTATTAACTTATCTATGCTGTCATATATATATATATATATATATATATATATATATATATATATATATACAATAACATACTGTATAATATCAAATAACAAATTTAAAACTATATGTTAAATATTATTTGTAAAAAAACTTTATAATTATTTATTATTAATTATTTAACATAAAAATAAATTTTTATTTAAACTTAAATTATAATTATTTTAAAAGCAAAAATTGATTCATTTCCAACACTTTAATGTATAACATTTTGATTAATATTGTGTATAATAGTTGCAAATTATACAGTAGTTATATTATTAACCGTGAAATTAATTTGAATTATATTTCAACAAGAAGATTAACATTAGTTTTAAAATTATAACTGATTTTAGTTGAATTTATATAATTTGTTAGACATAATAAAAGATCAATATTTATACAAAAATGTTATTTATATTATAGACACAATTATTTTTCAGTTTGTATATTAAATTATACAATAACCTAACCAAACAAAAGAATTTAATTAATTTTTCATAAAAACAAATAAAAGATTATTTTTTATTTATATTGTCATTGAGTTTTTAAAATTTAAAAATATATAACAATTGTAAAGTAATCTTAAAATTATCAAATGGAAACATTTCTTTAAGTATTTATACATTTAATGTAATAGAAATTAATTATTTAATGTTAACTATAAATATAAATACAGTATATTGTATTTACAATACTTATAAGCATATAAAGTCAATGTGTCTAACATTAACTGAAGCAATGAATACAATTTTAAGTTATGTAACAAAAAGTTGAAACATTTTTCTAATAATAAAATCACATTTTGTATATAACAACTAATTTATTGTATTTTGTGAGAAAAATATAAAATAATTTCATTTGTTAAGCAAAATTTTATAAAATAATTTGGATAAAAAAAATTAGAGTAGATATCAATGGGACAGCTATACGATTGGTTGGAACGGGTGTTTGTCTGTAAAGATAGAAGATATGGTGAGGAACGACACCCTAAGTATATCTATTTGGTGCCAAAATGTGTCAAAAAATGCTATTTTATTATAAAACAAAACATAAAGACATTGAAGTTAGAAAAGGGATACAAATATAGTATCAAATAATTAATCTGACATAAAATGACAATAAAATTACTATTCTTTGGAAAAAATGTCTTATCTTTTGATAATTTGTTGTTAAGTCGCATGACTTGTATGTATATCTTGATGACGACCATCTATGGTCATCACTGATTTCCACCGGAAATACTTAATTACTTTTTTAAAGTTTCTTTTAAATAGTATTTCAAAATCACTTTTTAGTACATCTTTCTATGCTTAAGACTGATACTAATTTATTGATTACAAAATAGTGAAGATTTTGTGATAATCTATATAACGGATGCTTTGGAGACAATATTTTTGAAGATCAGTAACTAAATGATTACATTACTAATAATTAAATTATATTAAACTAAATTTATATATTGAATAATTTCTGCATTTTATTTTACTAATTAGTAATTACTAATAGACTTATAGTATTAAACAATGGTGTGATATATCACTAAACATTAGTCATTAATACAATGTTATATAACGCGTGCAAATAAAATATTTAAATTTTAAATACCTGTTAATTATCTATTGATTGGTTAATAAAGTATAGATCTATTTATTATAAGATATGACTAATTCTAGTATTGTTTCTATAAGTACGACAATACCGACTTCAGGTGGCGATAGCCCTACCATTTCAGAGCAAAATAGTGAAGACTCATCTTCGGGTTCATCACTAATCCTATACATAACACTGGGACTCGTGTCCAGTCTATTATTGGTTGGATTTGTTTATATCATAATATTTTTATTTTTAAGAAAGAGAAAATCTCCCGAAGATAATGAGGCATCCATTTCTGAAAAGTCACACTCATTACTGTCAGAT